GCCGGCTCGGCCCGGCTCGTCTAACGAGCCAGCCGCCCGCGCGGCTCGTGCTCGGGCTCGTTTTTTGACGAGCCCGAGCGGCTCATGGGCATGAATAGTACGAGCCGAGCCGAGTGGTCGACGAGCCACTCGGCTCGATTGACATCCCTAGTTCATAGGTAGTTGCGTAGTTAAACCTGCCTGAGGTTACCCATGTTGCCAGCTTGAGTGCACGTACCCGTGTCCGTTCTGGTTGGTTGCCTCCAAATCTGCCCAGCAGCATATGTACGTGTGACTGCACCTGTTGAAGCTGTAAAATTTGGCAACGTAATTTCAGCAACTTTTTGAACAACGGAGAGTCTCCCTTCCTCATTGTGTAGTCCCAAACATCAATCCCACACAAGAAAATCTGATGAACTCACCTAATCCAAAGAGGGTCTTTCTTGCTATGAATGTTCCAAAGGGTTTTAGTAAGAAATGTCGAGTTCCAACATTTGGTATTTCTAAATCCAAGGCCTCCCTCATGTTTCGACTAGCACGCACTACTTCACACGACCGATGACTTCCTCGATTCCCAAAGGAAATTACGACAAATAGAAACAATCTAAAGTGGACTTTTTATTCTTATAGAACCACACAGATTATTAGGATAACCGGCCTTTCATTCAATTCTATATTCAATGCCTTTTTCTTTTTTTTTTTTGGTCTATCACAAATCATTTCACGAAAAAATAATGATGGACTCAAAGGTACCATCATCAAACGGCCAAGCAACTGCCATATGTAATCATCATCAATTAAGAAAAATAGTTGAGAATCTCAAAACATGTATGAATTTATAAATTATTCGATAGGTATTGTAGTTCTCCATTTTAATTATCAACCCGTTACATAAAATTCAAGTTGGTTTACACGTGTAATTTCTTTGTTATTCCATGCTTCACAGGGCGGTGCCGTCTTACTATAAACACACCTGGCCAAGCTTGCTTTCCGTTCAAATCAACCCTGAAAATCAAAGAAAAAATGAGTCAGGGACAAACAAGAAGGCCGGAGGCCGTCAAGTACTGTGATCTTTTTCAAGTTTTCGACGAATTAGCTTCCAAACCTATAGCACCACAAGATGCATCCTCCATGCAAGCCGCTGAAAATATCGTACTTGAGGAGACTAAGAAGGGTGGTCCTGACCCGCCGACATGCGCGCGGCGCGGCGCAGCTGGAGATATGACCAGCATTGTTAGGGAGCAGGGCGCCACCATATCTGAAGCCGAAGTCGGTGGCTACCGCATAGTCACTGAATCTGTCGGAGGACGGGTATAATTTATTTCCTTTCAGTTTCTGAATATCTGATTTAAGCTTCAAGTTTTCATTATAACAGGTTCTGGGGCAATACGGTCGACCTACAGATGTGAAAATGACAAACCCGGAGGCGCGCTGGACACGTTTTCGATTACTGTGGGAGAGGCACTGGAGGCGGCTGGTCTGTCAGCTGGAGGCAAGCCAATTGATGAAAGTGACGCGGCTGCAATACAAGCTGCAGAGAGTCGTGCAACACGGCTCGGCCATGTGGTGCTTGGTGGTGTAGCAGCGGAAGCTCAGTCCGTCGCCGCGTATAATATCTGAACCGCCAAGCTTGGAGATGTTTTAACCGTAAATATATTCACATAACTCAATTTTCACTTTACATTTGATTTCTATGCCTATGAGTTTTATTTGTCAAAGATTTGCAAGATGCATCTGAGGAACTTAGTG